TGGCTAAATTTTTCAATGTTGATGAAAGTGGTTTGCGGCCGGTGACAGCGACCGCGGCCGCATATTTTGAGGTAGGCATCGGACATGATGGGAAAAGTTTACTTGTAACTATTGGTAAGCTTTCAAGGCTCAGAAACGAGGCTAAGTGGCAAAATTTCAAAGTTTGTAAAAATGCGCACCATTACGTCATTGTTTGATGGCGTCATGGAATGCCCCTGTGACGACAGCAATACCTGGCAGCATCTGGCAGCCAGACCTAAAGAATACCTCGAAACACACGAAAGCTGACGCCAACAACAACGAGAGAGAGAGATGAGGAGAGAGAGAGAGAGAAATGATGAGAAGAGAAGGAGAGAGTAGAGCGAAGAGAGAGTGGGTGAGAGAGAGAGAGAGAGTGAGTGAGTGAGAGAGTGTGATGGGGGAGTGTGTGTGTGTATGTGGTGTGAGAGTGATGTGTGGGTGTGTGTGTGTGTGTGTGTGTGAGGGTGTGGTAGGTGTGTGTGTGGTGTGTGTGTGTGGGTGGTGGTGGTGAGTGTGTGTGTGTGTGTGTGTGTGTGTGTGTGTGGTGTGGTGTGTGTGTGTGTGTCGTGTGTGGTGTGTGTGTGTGTGTTGTGTGTGTGTGTGTGTGTGTGTGTGTGTGTGTGTGCGTGCGCGTGCGCGCGTATGTGTGTGTGTGGACTGTGGGAGAGCCCGCAAACCTACTGGAGGGTGCTCTTGAATAATTGGTGACCAATTATGGCATCTTGCTAATTTCGTTCGGCGGTGGATTGGTTATTTGACAGTTGTACAGGTCCTGCCCCATTTTTAGTGCCTTTGTCTGAAGACTTTGTGTCCTATGTCTCAGTTGTTAAGGGCATGCCAGCCAGGCCTCTCGACAAATTGACCATGCAGTTTGCTTGCTGGAAATTGATAGGTGCTTCTTGTCGGTCTTGAAAATGGAATGGAATACCAATATCGCGAATACCGCGTGCAAATCGAATACCGCGTGCAATGGCAGGTCTAATTCTGTCCGAGCATGTCGGTTCAGACAATCAGAGGTTAGGCTACGTCGCACATATCACACACACACACACACACACACACACACACACACACACACACACACACACACACACACACACACAACACACACACACACACACACACACACACACACACACACACACACACACACACACACACACACACACACACACACACACACACACCACACACACACACACACACACACACACACACACACACACACACACACACACACACACACACACACACACACACACACACACACACACACACACACACACACACACATATCTTTTTTATACATGGTCCATGGCACCTACACCCGTAGGAATGTTTTAGTACGATTCATCTTATCAACGTCATTTTGACGAACAGCATGCGAGCAGTTGTGATTGATTTCTATGGCAGTCATGCTGGGTAGATCAATGCTAGACCGGCTAATTTTAGTACCGCTGGGCGTAGGTCGTTCCCACCGCATTTGGTGTGGACGAGCTTTATGGTCATTGTGGATGTCTCAACTAGCTTTCCTAATGGGCACTTGCATAGAAGCGACATTGATCTGTCAATGGTCAGGCTAGGTCATAGCCTTGACAAACTAGTGTCTGCACGCAGCATCCAAACACCGCACGGTCATCGCCTGTGGCCTACGATTGGAATTGCGATATGAGTCCAGTACAAATGGAGTGCGTTCGTGCAGCCTAGCTCATCATTGCGTGAGATCTGCATTATGGTGTTTATTGCGAGATATTGTAACACCCTATGTATATGTGGTTTCGCTTTGACATGGTTTCAAATAGATGTGCTATGACACAGCTCATCATTTTGTGCTAAATATCACATCGCGTGAACGCAACGTGGATGGTTACCATTCGGCGGATAGAGGAGATATTTGTCCTCATAAGCAAGATTCACCTTGATGTATCAGGACTCAACTGCATGCATTCCAAGTGATACTTACCTTAAGTGTTTTCAAACATCTCAAATGACGTTTATAGGGTGGATGTAGCAGAACTGTTTGCGTTATAAAGCAATATCAAGCACCTGTGACCCAATCGACCTAGCATCACCTCAGACGTTACAAATTGACCAATAACACAGCAAGAACGCTGGAGAGCCTAGACGACGACCTTTGCATCGGTCATGTCGCCACCACTAAGCCTGTCAGTGCGGGAGCTACCGGAAGCGGACCGCATGTCACGCACTCCAATAGCCTCTACCTGCCTTAGATCAAATGATCAGTAGGGCGGGGTCATGTCGGGCAACGACGTCGGGCCAGGGTGTCAGCATGGCTCCGTCCGGCTATGGTATCAACATAGCTCCACCGGGCCAGGGTAAAGTGCTAGGCAATAGCGTGACACAGCAGCCCCTGCTATAATTTGATCATCTCAGCCAGCGGCCCTCTGAACGTCTGAGACGAACTGGCTAAGCACGCTTTCCGGCATATGAACGCGCACGTCTGTCACGCATCGGCAGGTGTGCCCGACGATGTACCAAACCGGCCACGGGCACGCGCTCTATTTCCAAACGCTTTCATGCGCCTACGAAAATTATGAGTGTCCGAGCAAAACTCATCTACGTATATTGAAGTGTGCTGAAATGCAGCACCATTTGTCGACGGACGCACGAGAAAAAACGACGTCGCGCTGGCACCCAACGCCTCTCGCTCTGCGGCCCCCGGGCTCTCGAGATTACGCGTCGGCCAGCCGTCAGAAGGCACAAAGTCAACTTGGCTCACGTGTTCTGAACAAATCCTCGCAAGTGTGATGATAACACATAGATGGATATTTCAGCTAACCTTATGTGAATGCAAACCTTATGTAAATCGAAAGCTGTTATTCAAGGTTATGCATAGGGTTACAATGTCAGGTCTTGGTGTATGCATAGCTTAGAAAATCACGATAAGGACGATTTTTGAACTGCTTTTTCGGCATTATGAATTTAGAGGATTTATGCTGACATCGATCGAATTTCAATACACAAGGAGGCACTGGTCAAATGATGTTATCAAGAAAACATTGGCTAAATTGTCAATACCCGATGTTTTAAGCTGTGCCATTGGCATAGCCAAAAGGGGAAGGCAGAGTACGGGACATTTGGGGCCATGTCCACTGCGTGAAGGAAGAAGCCCCTTAGGACCAACAGCTCACTCGTTTTTGGTACTTTTAAACGCTCGCGAGGCTTTTAAAACAACCGAAAACGGACCCCTGAGGCAGGAATTGGAGACCTGGGCCTCAAAAGTTTATCAGAATAAAAAAAGCGCTCCTATAGCGATGAGGATGGCCGCTTGGCTGAATGAACTCCCTAAGAACTCATTTGGCCCCTTCCTGGGCAGACTCCTGACTACGCCCCTGAGCTGCGCTTCTGATCACTCGTTGTCATAAACGCAGCTTAAAACGTTGTCTTTTGATA